CCTCCTCCTCCTCTTCTTCTTCTTCTTCTTCTTCTTCTTCTTCTTCCTGTGGTCATGGATTCGGTCTCTCCCGCGGAGCACCTGTGTTACGTGCGTTGCACCTACTGCAACACTGTGCTTGCGGTAATTCCTTCGAGGAGAAGATTTGATGCTTTTCATGTACAGGAAAGATGTTCATGAGAATTTTCTTCACTCATATGATCTTGTTTTCTTGGCTACTCTTTTAGCATCAGTGGTGACGCCTCCTCATATCACATCTTTCCTTCATTTCACCTAAGTTTCTCCCTCGCCTTTGATCTAGCACCTCAGGACCATTACTCTTTTCTCTCCTAGTCATCTCCTCGTCTGTGGCCGATATTTGAGAAATCCAGCTGAAAGCACTCTACTTTGTTATTCTACGAGTCTTGTTGATAGTGTTACTGCTGTTCATGATGTTAATGTTCCCAGTTCGGGGCTCCTAATGCCTCCTAGGGTTCTTCCTGTAACTTAGGAAAATGATTTTAAAGTGAGAGGAAAGAGTAATAAGTTTTGCAGATAGAAAGCAGCAGTTCAAGGGAGATCCAATTATATACATGCCCTAGTTCATGACAGTCTCGTCAGCAGTTGCAGGTCGGGGCTCCATGTAACGCAGCTGGCCATCTTGATTTGATGCCACACATAAAGAAGACAAAAAGAGGCCCCTTCAAAGCTTCAGCATATTCTATTACCATAACTTTGTTTCTCCTCTCTATACCTGTGCTGAATTCTTGCGTTTCCTCATCACCGCACTATAGGAGCACACACATGACAACCCATCAGCTTTCATTTGGATTCCCTTACCTTTCTCTTCACCAAATTATCAGCTAACGGCTAAAGAATTATGTAGGGAAGATTCACTGAATGATAGATCTGAAATATTTGCCCAATAAAAGAAGAAAAACAATTGAACGGATCTCGGTGTCCGCCTTCACAGAATGCAGAAAAAGAATGAACATGGTCGGCATAATAAGATCCAACAAATAGTTACAGTGGTAGCAGAGAGTCCAAAGAACTACTTCCAACCGCTTTGATGGATCCCGATCTCGTCTCTTGGATGCAGGTTGGAGTCCCATGCAAGCCGGTGATGGACACGATCACCGTGAGATGTGGCCACTGCAACCATCTCTCCTTCCTCAGCTCCAGAACCATGGTGCAGTCCCATAGCTGCAACGATTTCCAGATGGGCCTTCAGGTTTGCATCTCCTTGTTCATTTCACTAGGCTACGTTCTAGCACACTCGGTGACAAGATGCATGGTGCAATCATTAAAATCTTGTTCTTGTGCTTCTCTCAGTCTCCTTTGAGATTTGTCATTAGCTTTACTTCCAATTTGGTCCATTTTAGAGTGAGAGATAGAGAGAGAAAAAAAAAGAAAGAACCTTTGTTCATCTTTCACTAACCTTTATTTTTGCAGTGGCAGTGATATTTTTCAGCTATGCATGATTCTAGCTTGTAGGCCTACATATAAGTTAGTCTGGATGTAGTTTACCTTTTTCTCTCTGAGACTGCTTTAGGAAAAGAGAGAAGGATGGAGACTTTATATATGTCATATAACAACACTCTTCATTGTAAATTAGGGCGCTTGTGCTGATTGCCTGAGAGGCCAAGCTTCGTCTTCCTCCTCCTCCTCCTCAACTTCAAGCGAACAAACCACTCAAAAACCAACCTTCGTTGTGAAACGTGAAGTTTCTTTTCACCCCCCCCATGGTTTTTTGATGTTCTTCTTCATATCCTCTGAAGTGATTTTTTTGAGGAATGTTAATGATGTCCTGATGACAGCTCCTGAGAAGAAACACAGAATGCCTTCAGCTTATAATCGCTTCATGAGGTAAGAATCAACAGCATTGTTTTGCAACATCATCTCACGAATGAGCTTCATGAGCATCTCAAACCTCATATATTACAGTGGTTACAAAGATGTGAAATTGCAGAGCATAGCAATCTTCTATTAATGTAGCAAAGTTCCTTTTTTTTTTTCGTTATATGCTGCTTGAAAAGCATAAAAACAATATGGAGAAAACCTTTTTTGAAGAAACAATAATAACTATTAACAGGTAGAGAGAGGAAAAAGAAGATTTTTGCACTGTTTTCAGTGTAATTTTACTCGTTTAACATGCGGTGCATTTTCAGTAGCTGCCAGTTCCGTCTTCCTGCATGAGGATTTTGTGCAAACATTATCTTCTAAGGTCCTTACCTTACTGGATCTGCAAAGAGAATATTATTGGCATATGTAGATCTACCATCTACATATAAAGAATTAAACCAGTGCATATGCAATTCCAACATCTTACATGGTAGGTCTTGACAGTGCATGACAAAGTAGTGGATTGTACATGTATCTGGAACTCTGCACACATTGTTTTGTTGCTATCATCAATTGACTTCAGAAAACCCACCTTAACACCATAGGAAATTAAAATGAATCTTCAATCCTGTGTAATCTTATCAGGCAATGCAAAGTATTCTGAGGTATTATTTAGTATGTGAATATTTTTACTCTCAATTTTGAAGTGCTCCACAAATTCCCTGCCAACAATTGAGAGCCAGGTCATATTTTACATGGCTTGATTAAAGATCATCCTATTCACTGTGTGGTTCATCTTAATTAGCTCCATATCCTTGAAGCTTTTTGCTCATGTTGGACAAGAACATCCTTCACCCTTCTTTCACCAATTGTGATCCTCGAATCAAGCCATGAACCATAATCCTCCTCTGATCCTCGAATCAAGCTATCTTTGTTACAGATTTTTGAGGTACATCATGCATGCTGATTGGTAAATCACATTATATCACCTCAAGAATTAGTGGTGCTCTTTTGAAAAGTCTGTCAGCAAAAACAGCTAAGTTATCATGGTATTGGTACACCAATGAGATTGAATGAGAACTGTGAAACTTGGGAAGAAGACCACAGAGACATGTAGAGAAAAAAACAAAGCTTTTGTTAAACTATTTTTGTTGGTTGAAGTTAAAGGTAGAGGAAATGGAAAAAAAAAGTAGTAGTCTTTTAAGAGATCTTTAGAGAGAAAAGGACCAATCTGAATATCGAAATTCTATATTTGCATAAGAGTTCAAAAGGAAAAGCTTCATGCTCATATCTGTGAGATAATTCATGCATTATCTATGTGATGTGTGTGTTTTTAATTTGTTCTAGCCGAGCCAAATGTATAGTTCCTCGCACTCGAACCACAAATTTTATCAGTACATGTAATTGTGACTGCATTCGGAAGCTTGCAAATCCTTCCTTCCTCATTAGTTTCTATGATCCAAATAGTACATATAGTTTGATATACATACAATGACAGGGAGGAGATTCAGCGAATCAAAGCTTCTAAACCCGATATTCCTCACCGAGAAGCTTTTAGCATGGCTGCAAAGAACGTAATCACACAAACAACTCAGTTCTTCATGCATTCTTTCAGTGAACATTTTCTTCATATACTAGTGATGGCAATTTTCCTTTTTGTGCTTCTTTGTGCATTGACTGAAGTGGGCAAAGTGTGATCCTCGTTGCTCGATCATTGTTTCCACATCTGGTGATGATAAGCTGTCTCCTACTGAACAAGTGGTAAATCCTATCTTTCTGATGGAAACAACAGAATAATAGCTCGTTTCTTTGGCATTAGAAACCGGTCTGTAGCTTGATGGATTAATTGTTTGTTGTCCTCTTGGCCAAATGATACAGGAAAGCAGCAGTTCCCCTACAATGGAAAGCTCCAGTTTATACAAGCAGATGGAAGAGGAGGATTAGGGTTCTCGATCGACATATGGAGCCCTTCCTCTTTGTTAGTGATGCGCTTATGGTGTTAATTTTTGTTTGATCTTCTCATCTCTCTACAACAAAACCTCTCTTGGTACTGAAGTATTTGCTAGTTATGATCCATTCATCCTATGTATGCATTGCTAATGAAGAGGAAGTGATAAAAATCTGCTCATATATATACATATGTATTCATGATCCAAATCTAAGTATTCAGTCCATGTCTAGTGAGAGGAAAGGATCGCCTTATCAGTTGTGGTGTTCTCCTAACAGGTTAATTGAGGTAGACAAGCTTTGACTAGGAAAAAGTATTGCTAATAACCTCCTGACTGTATGTTAATGCTGCAACTATGTTTGGCTCAGAAACTGGTGGGAAACCCTAGCAGTATTGGACATGTATATGACCTGGCACCAATAGTACCATCTGATGTGTACCATGCAAAAGTTTGGTGGTATCCAAACAATTATAAGCAGAATATTTTCTGACCTCAAATAAAAAGGGAGAGAGGGGAATCTGTGGATGTGTTGGTGTTGAGATATCCTCGAGAAGAGACAAACATCAGCTTGAAGCTAAACGTGACAAGTTGTTTTCTCTTTCCTCACCCACAAAGGAAGCTGAGGACACATCCAAGATTGAGCATATACTCCTGAACTCATCTTTATCTGATGTATGGAGCCGAGTGAAAGAAAGCAACTACACAGGAGATCTAAGACAACAAAGGTTTTGGATGAGCATCAAAGCAGATCTGTGGATGGCAGCCTGTGAATGTGAGTAAGCATCTATCTTCGTTTTCATGCTCTTCCCATCAGCTAATGCTTCGACTGATGACTTGCGCATGCATCTAAATTTGACTAGACGCATGATTTCTCAATACTGAATGCTGAACAGATATTAAATCTCTCTCTATTTTCTACTTTTCTCATTAACTACATTTACTAGTCATCTAATCTAATGGTTTTGGGTCTTAAAACAATATAAAGGCATGTCATTTTTTGCTTTCTGATATCATCATGGATTTCAGGATGAGACAAAAGGTCTCTCTATAGTCACAGAATGGACAGACAAATTAATTCACCACCTCAACATCTTGAAGGCCACAGTTTTGTTTCCCTCCTGCAGCTCTATGGACCACACAGCAACATAAATAGCATCAAGCGGAGACATCTCCCAAAGCAAAACACCTTCAAGCATGCACCTCCTCCCATGTGATCAACAGTGTACTTGAAAGAGGGGTGCAACTCTACCACCACCACCATCATTCCACACAAAACCTTGGCCTCTTTCTCTCAGCATCAAGGATGACAAAGGCTCACCGCCAAGGTGACTCCGACGAGATTGAGGTTTTCGAGGCGACACGATACTTCTCCGGTGGAATCGGTACCTGCGAAGGCCTTGGCCTTCAAGGAAGCACGAGGGAAGAGAGAGTGAGTTGGGGAGCAGGTAGGAGGAGTTTGGATACACTGAGAGCCATACTCCCAGGCCGGTCCCGAAAGGCCGACGACCAGTGCAAGGAGAAGAAGAAGAACAAGCAGCGAAGCTCCCCTGGTGGTAAGCTAGCTAGCTTCCTCATCTCTCTCTTCAAGCAAACAATCTCTAGGAAGAAATCACAGTTCAAAGATCGACGTTTCGAGGAGATGCACACAGGGCGGAGGAGAAGCAGCGTCAGCTGTTCTCAGACTGTAAGAAGTAACGAGCTGGATTACTCCAACAGCAAGCCCAGTGGGCACCAGATCAAACCTGCTCATTTCAGCTCACACAGAGAAGCTTGGTACGAGAGAGCGAAGTCCATGGATGGTTATCCTGAGAACAAATGGGTGATCGATGGAGTTGCTAATGGGCAAGACAAGGAAGAGTTGTCCATGCCGACGGAAGATGATGGAGGATGGAGTGAATCCAGCTCTGATCTGTTTGAACTGAACACCTTTCATCTGGCGAGTGATCCGTTCACAGATCTGCCCGTTTATGGGAGCCCAAACTCGGATACACTCGAGAGAGCTGCTTCCATTGCTGGTGCTGCTTCGTAAGGACTCAGAATACGTATTACTATATGGTGTTTGATATTACCGGGGGCTTATTGGGTCGGGTCGATCCGAATCCGCCAGTAAGGGTTTAAAGCATCTCAATCTAACTCTGATGCAATACAATTATGTGACGTAGTTTAAATTATGAGGACATGAATGCATTTCTCATATCACATTAATAAATTTATTAGAGCATTTCTTTTGTATGAAATACCATAATTTATTATTTGATTTATTTTAATCTCTAAACCGAACCAAATCGTGTAACCGATCATAACGGTTTGTATCGTCGTACGTTATATCAGTTGTGATACGATGTTACTTGTCGTTTTCAAATCTCACCCGCCCAACCGCCCCGCCCCGCCCTCCTCCACGTCACGTGGGCCCAAATGTCCAAAATTAATATCAGCGTATATGTTCTTCTAAATATTAAACTACTTTACTACGAAAATTCAAATTAATCGACCAGTTGGATATATAACATTTATTTAATTGTAAATTTAATTTAAATTATTTACACTTCAATTTAGTGGGAAACTAAGTATATAATTGATTATAAGGTACACGAAGGTTCGCTTTTGTCTCCTCTTCCTCTCCGAGACCGCAGCGTCTGTCGGCACCGACGCGTGCGACCCCCGCCTTATGGCCGCCCGCGGCGCCCGCCACCTCGACCGCCCCCTGCACCCCGAGTTCAACGCCTCCAGCGCCCCCGAGCACGCGGTCCGTGCATGCCCTAGCTTCGCGGGGCTGGAGTCCGAGAAGTCGGAGGAGTTGATCGGTCAAGGGCGGTTCCTCCTCCACTGCGCCACCAAGTGGTTCCTCATCGCCGGGCGCCAATAGCTGCCTGTGGTCGTCACCATCCTCGCCTCCGTGGACGAGGTAAATGGGGTTGAGTCTTGGTGGAGGAGCTTGCAGACTCTTGTTGGTTGCAGGATCCTTGCTGCCTGGAGAAAGGAAGTCACGGTCAAGAACCTGGTGCAGAACGCCTCTTTGCTGATCCTGTTGACGGAGAGGAAGTCGAGGTCTGGACTTCCCGAGGGTGTATAGGCATATGGTTTGGCTTTGGTGGTCTTTTAGTGCCTAGAGCGAGGAGGATAGGCGAACCATGACATTTTGGAGAGCATCAAGCTCTCAGGGGCGTGCATTTCAAGTGTTTGTGAGAAGGTTTTGGAAAGAGTTAAGGACGTTGGAAAAGAGAAAAATGAGGTGATAGCAGTTAGAGATTGTGGGTTTTTTGTTTTTTTTCGGTGCATAGGGTAAGTGACGAAAGAAGGATTTAAGCTCAGGATCTTCATAGAGATTGAGGCTTAGAGGGGCTCCAGGATTCAGGGAAGACATTAATGCTCGAGAAAGTGTTGGATATTGATGCTTTTCCACCATCTTTTATTGTTGGTGTGGAGACTAGGAGTTATATAGAGAACAAAATTGAAGCTTCTAGCAGCGGATTTATATGATCATAAGGCCATCATTCAATGTTGATACAGTCGTTAAGGTGGCCATGGACCGTGCTTAGGAGCAGATGGTTGGTAGGAAGAGAAGGAAGAAGCTTCAAGAGGATAGTCTCCATTTGGAGGACTGCACAATTGAACTTCTGCTTCACCAAGCGAACGAGGATGGTACAGAGGAAGGTCTGTATGATAGATTGCTCGACTTGTATGTGTTTGATTCATAAGTTCTGAATGTTGAAAACCAAGTAATTTATATTGGCAGGATTTAACTGTTCAGGTGCCCCTGCCAATTTTATTTTTTGATATAAAATTATCTGAAAAATTGGATTTTTTTTTATTGTTATATAATAGATATAAATTTTGTTGATGCTTGTTTAATAAATTTGAAAGTGTTTATTGTATTTTTTCGAGAGATATTTTGGTATCTTTGTGTTGGATGCAATGTTTCTCTTTGGTTCATAGCATTTTGGTTTACCATACTACACTGTACTAAATTTAATTGCATTAGGCTGGTGCCTGAAATATTATGAATAGAAAATTTGATGATTTTAAGGTTGAATTTGAAAGCTTGATTCATCTTTCTTTCCAATTACAATATGCATTTGGAAAAAAGTAGTTTGGTATTTCAGGTTAAGTTTTTTTCTTTTTCTAGAAGCTATTAAGTAGTTGTACAAAGTGTTTTAGCCTCTATTTTTTTACGGAGAATTTTAGAAGAGACATTCTATTTCTATCTAATTAAATCTTTTATTTTGATTATAGTTGAAGAATGGAACATGTCTTGCATCTGTATAGAGAACAGATAACTGAGGAATCAGATTAACTACAACAACTTTTTCATATGTTCTGTTAAAAATTTGAATACCAAATATAAAATGCGGTAGGCAGCTCTCTAACTAATCCAAAGGTATCAAATTTGGTTTCTGATAGGATCATCAATTGAAAATTAGTATGAAGGTATGAATTTCTAGGCTTTTAATGAAAGATAGTTTATCTAGGGCCAAATGTTGGGACTAAGATATTAAAGATGACAGATAATAATTGATATCATTCTTCATTGGACAGATCTCTAACCTGAGAACTATTGTATATTAATAAAATAATGCATAAGGCTTAGTATATGCAGCAATCTCCAAATTCTAGCAACTTTGACTGTCTTAGAGGGAACTGACTTTTAATCGTAGAGGAAGAAAGTGGAAAATGACATAGCTGTAGCAAATAATAGTAGAGAAAATGAGTAAGGAGGGAGAAAAAGAACGGAAGAAGTAAAGAAGTTGAGTTTGGGTTGTGCTTAAGCAAAAAAGAAAAAGATACAGGCTAAAAGCAAAGAGGTGGAAAATGTAAGGATTTATTGCAGTTAAGATCTAACTCCAACAGGAAAATGGTAAGGAAAGCCATGTTGATTCTCCTTTAATTAAATTATCCCATGTGTCATTCCATTAATCCTTTGTTTGATCTGTATCTGTGATCCATTTTTATTAAGAAATCAAATTGAAGATATTTTCCATATATTTGAAATTTGAAAATTTTGATTTGTCTCTATCATTTGGAAGGTGATCTGAAATATCCCTATTAAATCCTGCTTTGGTCGGGGGTTTTGAGAGCTTAATAAACCTTTTTTCTCTTATATACATATATCTGTAGAGAGAGAGAGAGAGAGAGAGATTCGGTAAACCTAAGTTCAAATCAAACACCTGAATTCTATCTATAAGTGGACTTTCTCAAAATGTGGATAATAATGAACTCTGCATTGGTCCTAAATTGACCAACAAATGGCAAATTGGTGAAAATTGGATAAAAGCTATTGGCTAAGACCTTTTAGTCTGTTGTTTTCCAGGTGTGTTATATTCTCAGTAAGTTGGTACAGTATCCTTTTTTATCTTTAATTTCATACTGTACCTTTTACTAGCATCTTAAATGAGGTAAATCTGTATGGTGAAAAGTTTTGCATTTTATGGTTTGGAATCATGTATTGACATAGTATATCTAGGCACCATATAGGAATTAACTTGAGCATGACTTTTGCAATTGGTGACAATTAACATAGTGCCTTTCATTTACTTTGTAAACCAAATTGAGCTTGCCCTTTATAATAGGTGACAATTAACATAATGCCTATCATTTACTTTGTAAACTAAATTGAGCTTTAGACATTTTGGATACCATAAAAGAAGTTAGTTATATAAAAAGATACTCATGTTTTAATATTTAGTAAAAAGGAGGACCCATGAAGACTGGTGAGTGTAGCAGAGGTTGAGTTATAAGGTGTGTATGCAGTAGATTAAGGTTTACACTCGCATGCTGTAAACATCAGAACAAGTTGAGGTTAGCTCAAATAGGGTTTGGAATGTAGTTATGCACAGAATGGGTAGGAACCTGCAAAATGTGCTTTGATAATGCTGGACCAGTAGCATAACAGCTGATTTATCTTTGGTAGAAATGAATGCTAGAAAAATGCTGATCATTCCAAATCTTTGGCAGCCTTGATTTGTCGAGTAATTGATAAATAAAAGCATAAGTCACTATGTTGATAAATTTGCTTTTAGGATCTAGTCTCTTCATTTCTTTTGGTACGTATATGATGTACAGAAGCTTTTTGCTGTAGGGGATCTTTGTAGTGGATATTGCAGTATTGATATAGGCAACCAGTTAGCACTGGAAACTCCAAGTAATACTAAAGTCTACTAAATTGGTATCGTAATTATCGAGTCCATGTTCATAGTAGAAGCTTGGGTGTTAGGTACTGATAATGCATCTTAGTTATTCATATTAAAAAGATGTCTTGTTCGATATGCATGCTTATAATTAAAAACGAGAAAGTGCCTAAAGCATATACTACTCTTCATTGCTTGAGTTGATATTATTATTGTTTAATAATGGAATATATAAATTTAATATGAGACTTGCCAGATTTTGCTACCAGTTTGATGGTGGTGAATCTATAGACAAGTGAGATGGATGAATGTTGATGAGCTTGAAGAATTTGGCAATGAAGATGCTAAGTAATGCTTACCAATCCACAAGAAGAACCTGCTGGTATGTTGAGGCATTAGAACATCAACATGAATGTCAGGTATCAGATGCCTATTCAGTAGACAATTGTAAATTAGTGAACATTATGGATCATCTCACATACACTGTTCTTTTATACTTTTCTGTTCACAGAGTTTTGTGATGCTCTGCTGTTACTTAGACTGCTGATACTCCAGTCGGCACGCATGATGAACTGATGAGCAAGTAAAATCTGTTTTCGTCACAACTTAAATAACAAAAAGATTTTCATATATAACAATTCCATATTATCCTGTTTATGGTTATAATGTGTTGCATATGAACAATTGATGGTCAAACTTCTTATGAAAATCTACATGTCTTTCTCCAGAAAGCCAAAGTTTCTTGTTTTCCGACCAAGAAAATGCAGTCAAAGCATCAATTCTGAGAATAATGGGACGGTTGCAGAAGTCTTGCTTTCTCACAGAGAACTTGAACGAAGAAGACATCAGATCTGTGGGAGCAATGGAGTGGCCTTGTGTAAGTTCCCTGCATTCACTTTGTCCTAGCCCTTAGTTTCATCTTAAACCACTTGAATTGACGAGGCATATGCTTGCATGAGATTCATGTGGGTAACATGAAGTTGAATCGCTCATTTCTGACCATGAATGCAGTTGACTGAGCCACTAATCTAATGTT